AAGTTCTTTTAGCCTCAATGAAGAGGATTTTTACTGGTAGCTTATTTTAGGAGAAAATTTAGAAGACTAATCCCAAAAGTAAAAGAAAGAAGAAAAACAGTGTTAGAAATCAAATTTCATTAAGTAAACAAGAGTTTACAATTGTACCTTCACATTTTTACAACTTCGAAAGGGGTTACAACAACAAACTATCTTAGAACTACTCCTAGGAAATAGAAATGCAGTGCAGGAAAATATAGGATTGGAAAATAAAAGACTGGAAAGAAAAATGTAAAGTAAATAAACTGGTTTCTGGATATGGTTATGGGCCTTTCACTATTAGCCTTCTCTTCTATTTATAGGCTCTGATGATAACCGTCGAAGTGGCTGATAATCGTCAAAGTGGGTGATATCGAAGTGATCTCCATGATCACTGGACATGGCTTTGAACAGTTTGCTTCCACTATATCACTCTTGCGGTTGGGCTTCCCCTCCCGAATTTGAATTTAAATTGTAAACAATCATTTAGCCACGTTACCCTATTCATCTTAACTGTTCCAATGTCTCGCAGATCCATCGCCATTGATACAAGTTGCCATGTGTATGTTGATGACTCGAAACCTTCACTGATTTCCTAAATTACCCCTTATGGACCACGTGTTAGGCTGTGATTAATTTGTACTGTTAGACTTATTTATTTTGATGATTTATTTAATTATGTTTTTAATTTATTTAGAAGAGAAAAATAGAATCAAAATTTATTTTGTTCCATTATTTCTTACCTAAAACTTTTATCCTAAATGTTAGAATTTATTTAATATTTGATTAAATCAGAGGTTCAAACAGCCCAAAACAAAGGTTCAAACAGCCGAGCACAGCAGTAGGCCAAAAGGTTCAAACAGCCCAGCATAGCAGCAGGCCAAAAGGTTCAAGTGGAAGATATTCAAATGAATATAACGGCTATAAATTCAAATGAATACAATGACTATAAACGGCTATAAGTTTCATTATATATACCAACGCCTCTAATGTAAACAAGTTACAAAAAAAATCGGAAAATATTATTTGATCTATAATCACTCACATCTATTCTCTGAAAAAATTCTCTGAGAAGTGTTCTTCAATTTTTGTTTACATCCTATTTCAAAAATTATACACTGAGACGTACATCTTTAAGCCCATCTTTCCTGTGTGAGGTTTACAGAAAAACCAGAGCTTCATTTTTATATCTATCTTTGAGAGATAATTCTGGTAGCTTTCTGTGAAAGCAAAAACACATTCTTTTCAACCTTGTAAGAGTGTAGTACACTTAGTGTTCTTGACTGAGAAAGTCTGTGTAAAAGAGTATCATGCTTTACTACTTGATGTTATAATTGTGATTGT